TTTTGGAGGCAATGATCTCCCTCCAACTATAGCTTAAAGAGCATCCAAGCTCTAATGGAAATTTATTTTAATTCATATACATTATTGTTTAAAATAATTATTTAGTGAAGTTTTGATTAAAATATTAAAATAGGGTAGGGCCTAGGCACAAATCTCAAATATTGGAGATTTTTTCCATTTAGAAATTCTGATAGTAGAGTGATAATTGAATTTTGAGAAGGTTGTGCTATCTGGCAGACAGTTACAAGTTGCAACAGTAATATATGCATATTTTTACTGTTAATAATTGATTATTATCATATTTTGAATTTTGTGATTACTTTTAATTATTATTATGATGATGAATCTGAAAACAGGTTGATGGCAAAAAGAACAAGGTTTATGGGCAGAATCTTTGTTATTTGGCGAAGTTGTTTCTTGATCACAAGACCCTCTATTATGACGTTGACCTGTTTCTGTTCTATGTTTTGTGTGAATGTGATGATCGAGGATGCCACATGGTTGGCTATTTCTCCAAGGTAAAATATTACATTGCTGTCATTATTTATTTTGCTTTGGCATGAGATATTTATGATCTTTATATTTTACAATTAATATGTCATTTAACCTTTGTCTCGGCTCTAAAAGGCCTACCCAAACTGCATTTGAATGAGCAGGACCATTTACCATGCAGTTTCTGTGTTTTATATTAATGTAATTATGAGGTTCTATTTTGTAGGAGCCAAGCAAGTTTGTGTTGTTCATGAACAGTCCCTAAATCCTAATGTTGTTGTGTTAAAAGAAAAATTTTTGTTCTAATCTAAATATATTTAATCTTCAACTTTTTTTTATAAATTTTTTATTATATTCATTCATTATTTTCTCTATGTTATGGATAACCTTATTGATTTTGATTATTTTGTTTATTATAAAGGAAAAACATTCTGAGGAATCTTACAATTTGGCATGTATCCTCACCCTTCCACCTTACCAAAGGAAAGGCTATGGGAAATTTCTAATTGCTTTCTGTAAGCTCTCTGTCTCTTTGGAAAGTGGGCCTCTTCATATTTGCTTGCTAGGGTTATATATGATAATGTGACTGAAAATCTTGAAAATTTCAAACATTTAACAGCTTATGAACTGTCTAAGAAGGAGGGCAAAGTTGGCACACCTGAAAGACCCCTTTCAGACCTTGGAATGCTAAGCTACAAAGGATATTGGACCAGGGTTCTCTTAGACATTTTGAAGAAGCATAAGGGCAACATTTCTATCAAGGTAAAGTTCATTTGATTATTTATTGTGTTGAATTTATTGTTATGAGGTTAAATCTTAATTGTTTGTAGGGTGTTAATTATTGGAATATGGTTTATCCAGTAGGATCCTTGATATGTGTGTGTGTGTGTGTGTGTGTGTGTGTACATAGATGCATAAAAGATGCACAAAGGGAATAAAAGAAAAGACTGACCAATATGCTAAGAAGAAATTTAGTATTACACACTCTTTTCAACACACCTCAGAAGTGCCCTTTAATACCTTTGCTTATGTACCCTCTTAAAGAGATTGTGCACTTGGCATCACAAAGGGTCCCAGTGACATATAACTATCATGGCCCAAAGTAGATTTGTTGGCTGAAAATAATTTTAAAATATTAGCATCCCACTCGAGCAAAATTCCCCAAACTCAAAAGAACAATGTACATCCCGCTTTGCTAAAAAGACTTTCCCTCTTTGGCGTTACCAAAATCCCTGAACTCTGAAGTTAATAATAAGAATTAAGACACTTAACTAGATCAAGATGATTATCAAACACCTCAAAAAGTCCGAGTCTAGCTGTAGGGCAGTGTTAATGGAAGGTGAGGGGTTTGTAGAGCTACACGTGACACATCAAGAGAAACTGTGTTGTGGGGTTTCCCAATTTGCAGGTACTGTATCATTCTTCTTCGTTAACATTGATCTTATTGAGAATCAGCTGTCCATCTTAACCTATGAGGGAGCTTTGCAAAGAGTTTTATCAAGGAGTCTTTGTTCGAAGATTGAGCTAAAAAAGTGAATCCCTGCTCTTCTACCGGAATATATAGAGCTGATTCTAGCATCAGAAAGTGAGGATGTAATTCAGATTCCTCTAGATTCTAGGCACTGTTTGTTTTCTAAATGATTTGGAATTCTTGTTTTGTAAGGGACCTCCGATGATGACTAGAAAGGTTATAAAGAAACCATCCACTCATCTCACTTGGGGAGGGGGGGGGGTCTGTCTGTTATGTCAATTTTGAGTGGGCAGGAAAGGAAATGGGGTAAGGATTGGATTATCCCTTGTTTAGGAATAGGAAGAGAGTTGAATGCATGTTTTTTCCAACATATTAGGAATTGTTTTTGTGAGTCTCACAGTTTCCCCCTACTTATCCATTTAATAATGTTTTAAATAAATTAATTTTACATACATTTCCACTCTTTTCCTTAATGAAATCAAATAAAGGGGCTTCCCTTCTTTGCCGTGGGATGATACCAAACAATAGAAGTAAAAACTCATTCACTTTTCGGCTTCTTTTAAATCACATTCCTTTCTTCAGTTTCTATTTTCTCTCACGACACCGGACTGACCTAGGATTTATTTATTTTAATAAAATCCTTTTAAGCATTTATAACTGTTTTTTATGACCGTTGTCTCTTGTTAAGATTCTCATTGAAGAGACAAAAGCCATAAGGGAATTTTCTAAAGTTAAAACAAATGTAAATTGAGCAGGTACTAATTTTAATTCATATTGAAATAAATTAAAAAACTGAACAAGCTGGAACTGTTTTGTTTACTTCGCCATTAATTGGTTGCTCATGTATTTTCTCATCTTCAGCGATAAAATCACCGTATCAAGGCTATTGCTATTGAAAAAGCTGTTATTTCTGCAGGAACTGAGTGATATGACTGCCATTAAAGCTGATGATATATTAAACACTCTTCAGAGCCTAGAATTGATTCAATACAGGAAAGGACAACATGTAATTTGCGCAGATCCAAAAGTGTTGGATCGCCATCTTAAAGCTGCGGGCAGGGGGGGCCTGGAGGTTGATGTTAGCAAGTTGATCTGGACTCCTTATAAAGAACAAAGTTGATGGCCATATCCATCAAAGATATACTATGATGTAACTTGTGCTTTCTTGTATAGAGTATAGGATAGGTTTCTTAGACAGCCCCTTTGATGTATGAGTATTAACAAACAGTTTAATACATCTTTAGATGAGAATAGGAACATAACTGATTGTTTAATGTGCTGAACCGTAGCTACATGTATTATTCTATATCTTCGTTTCCAATGATGAATGCCAAAGGAGATCTATTTAATGGATATTCTTGTGTTGGCTTCTGACATGTTTAAGCTCTTGAAAGGAGCAATTTTAAAGAGTTCTTATTTTGCGATTTTATTAAACGAAAACATTATTTATTTATTTTTTACAATTAAAAAAGTACTTATTTTGAAAGCTAATTATAATTATGATATTTTCATGAGTTATTTAAAACAACTCATCATGATAATAAATTTTAATTTTTTAAAAGTTTTAATAAACCGTATTGACTGATCCGTCTTGTGCCCAGTTGGATTGATAATTTTAGATACGTTACACTAGCAGTTGCAGCTATAGCACACCCAAAGGATTTTGGAAAAAAAAAAACAAGGGTACTCTTAAAAGGAATTGTATCAGATTATTCTATATTTACACCTGACGCATGATTCCAAATACCAATCTCAGTTACAGATTTATCAGATTATTTGTCCATAATATTGATATTTTGGCTTAATTGTATTTTATTTCTTTGCATTTACATTCTTTAAGTTTTAATTCTTTGTATTTAGTTATTTAAATTAAGCTTATGTAATATTTAATTAAAATATAATAAAGATATAATATGTCATTAATAAAATTATTTAAATTAAGCATTTAATTGTATTTTTTTTATAATTTGTCTTTTAACCTTTCATGACTTTAAGAAAAGTGAGAGTTTGATTTACGATATCTGTTTTGGTATCTGTAAATTTGAGAGAGTATTATATATTTGTTTAGATCAATAACTTTAATTGTTTAATATTTTAAAGATAAAACTCGTAAATTTATTTTTCAATATCTTAAAGATAACAGTGTGTTAACGTTTTTCTTAACTAAATTACTGATTTTATTGTCTATTAATATAAATTTTATTGTCAGGATTGTTTTATGTGTAAGTGAGAGTATTAAACTCTTTTAATTACAAAAGATACCATAAATTTTATCTAAATTTATTTACATATTTTTAAATTTTTTTTTTTTTTTTAAATAAAAAGAAGGTTAAGTAAAAAGTTAAAATTCATTGATATTAAATGTAAAACTTAAATACTTATACTACTTAATAACTTTTTAAAAAATGTATAATTGATTAATTTAATTATTAAATTATCTTATATTATCTTTATAATATATATTAAATTTTATTTAATTTAAACATTTTTAATTATATTTTAAAAACACATTATTTATTAAATAAAGTAATGCAATGAAATATTTAATAATTTATTACAAAATTTTATAAAATTAATCTTGTATTCTATAAAAAATTATTAAATAATGTAATTATGCAAGTTTGACACTTGCTTCTAATAAGTTCTAAAGCTAAATAAAAAATTAAATATTAAATGTAGAAAAAATTATATGATAATTAAAATGATAATGAACTTAATTAAAAATACTTTTATTTAATATAATTTTATATTTATTTATGAATAAAAATTTTTTAATAAATTTTTTTTACTATATTAAAGAAAGAGATAATTTTTAAAATTAAAAAATAATTTATAAAAAATAATTAAAAACGAGTGCTTAATTTAAAATAATTATAAAATAACTAATTTCCAAAAATTCTTTAAAGAAAACACGAAAAAATCGCTTCCATTCAAAAATTAATATTTATAATTTATATATAAAGACTGATTAAAAAATTAATGATTTTTTTGAAAAAAAAAACATTAATGTTAATAATTAAATAGAGAAAGGAAGAGAAACCCTAGTTACTGCGTCTTTTCCCTCTTCTTCCCCAGAGAGCACGTTGGTGCCTTGTTTCTCTCTCTCAAAGTTTTATCTGTGATCGTGTTGGCGAGAGAGAGGGTGAATGGCTGGAGGGAAGGTGAAGAAGGAGAAGGGTAAGGCACAGCCGCAACACGCGCCTTACCAAGGCGGAATATCCTTCCACAAATCAAAGGGTCAACACATTCTGAAAAACCCGTTGCTGGTGGACGCCATAGTGCAGAAATCAGGCATCAAAAGCACCGACATCATCCTTGAGATAGGTCCCGGTACCGGAAACCTCACCAAGAAGCTTCTAGAAGCCGGCAAGAAGGTTATCGCCGTCGAGATTGATCCTCGCATGGTTCTCGAACTCCAAAGACGCTTTCAGGGTACCCCTCACTCCAACCGCCTCACGGTATATACCTCACTGTAGCCTCCGTGTGTGACTAATAAGCATAACCAAACTCTTAGTTCATTTTGTTTCTGATGATTACAGGTTATCCAAGGTGATGTGTTGAAGACTGAACTTCCTTATTTTGACATATGTGTGGCAAACATCCCATACCAAATATCCTCTCCTCTCACATTCAAATTACTCAACCACCAGCCTACATTCAGGGCTGCAATCATAATGTTCCAGCGAGAATTTGCCATGAGACTGGTTGCTCAGCCAGGTGACAAGCTGTATTGTCGTCTTTCGGTGAACACTCAACTCCATGCTCGAGTCTTCCACCTCCTCAAAGTTGGAAGAAACAACTTCAGGCCTCCACCCAAGGTTGATTCCTCTGTAGTACGAATTGAGCCAAGGAAGCCCAGAATTGAAGTTAAGCAGAAGGAGTGGGATGGATTTTTGCGTATTTGTTTTAACAGGAAGAACAAAACACTTGGTTCAATATTTAGGCAAAAGAATGTGATCTCTTTGCTTGAAAAAAATTACAGGACTGTGCAGGCACTGAAACTCTCCCAAGAAGATTCGCTGAAGGAGATGCACACTAAAATGGACTTGTCTAATTTTGGTGACAACCAAGGTATGGAGATGGATGACGAGGGAGTAGATGATGATGATGAAATGGAAGTTGAGGATGGGGAAGCTGATGAGGTGCAATCTGAATTCAAGGACAAGGTTATGAGTGTTCTGAAAGAGGGAGATTTTGAAGAGAAAAGGTCTTCCAAGCTCACCCTGCAGGAGTTCCTATACCTGCTTTCTCTGTTTAACAAAGCTGGCATACACTTCTCCTGATTTCAGATTATCATTTTTCTTTATAGATTTTTTTCTGTTTACATCTAAAATATTCTTTCCATGGAGTCTTGTCACTTTTTGATCGTTTTTTAAGAGAGAGAGAGATATGTTGTATGGACTGCTTTTAACTTGTTATGCATTGTAATTTGTTGAGTTTCTTCATAGATGTATGGCACTCTATATAATCTATAGCAAGTCAGATTCATTGATGTTTTTCTATTGCTCTGTGAGCACCTACGTTAACAACTTTCTATTGCAAAATAATATAAATTAGAATGTCCTATAACCTTATGCCAGACAATAACATGATCAAAGCCTATAATTCACAAAACCTTTTTCATTTTAACTCTAGATTTTGGGGCTGGCTTTTCGAGCTTATCTTTATGCAAACCCAATAGTTCTCTCATAGTACTTAGTTTTTTATTTTGGTTTTACCTCTCCTATGGTTTGGGTTGTGGTATCAGTGTTTGGTTGTAGTATCAGGGATGTGTACTGACTAGGGGAATTGATTAGATTGACAGTCTTGTTATGCTGTTCATGCCATGTTATTCAATTACCATTTAAATCACTTACAGATAAAGAGTAGGTATGATCTTGTTGCCGTGTACATTAGCTTGGCTTAAAATATCTTATCCCACCAAAATGTAATTTTTAGTATCAATCTGTCATTAGAGATTTTGTATATTAGAGTACAACTCTTGTCAGTTATTTCTGTTATTAGAGTTAATTCTGAACAGTCACATTTAAGCTTCTGATTAGTTAGTGATGAGTGAGTAGTTGTACAGTTTGTAGTTTGTAGTTTTTCTGTTAGAAGACAATGACTTCTGTACTCAAATATTTTTTTTAAAAAAAAAAAACACAAACAAATAAGACGGATAATTTTTATGTATAGTAGTGGAGAATTATGGGACAAAAAATAAATTCCCTTGGTTTCAGATTTGGTATAACTTAAAGTCATGATTCTCTTTGGTTTGCACAACCAACAAATTATTCCGAGAATCTGCAAAAGATAAAAAAAATACAAGATTGAATAAAAAATTATATAAAAAAATTGGACGGATAAAGATTAAAAAAAGAATCGATCTGATTCAAGTCATAATTTATATGGGATTTTCATAGTTATTAATAGAGGGTCAGCTATAGACGAATATGCAAAAAAAACTAAAGCTGAAGTTGAATTGTGGGAACTGAAAACTTAACATTGCTATTATAATGAAAAAAGCTATTGAATTAGCTGAACAAGCAGGTATAAAAGGAGTGCAAGTACAAATTGTGATACGTATTGATGAAAAAGAAATTGGATCAGAGAAGGTAGGGTTCCTCTATAAACTATTCAAGCTAAAATTGATTATTGTTCCTATATAGTTTGAACTATTTATGGGGTAATATTTATCAAAGTTTGAATATTTATAAACTAAAGAAAAACAAATTTTTTTTTATCTTTGAGGTTTCATGTTTCGATAAAACAAAAAATTACAAATTATTTCATTTTTATTCCAAAACAAAAAATGATAAATTTTATAAGATTGAATTGAATAAAAAATTCAATTAATCATTTGATATTAATATAATTGCAATGCTTAGTGTGTGACTTGTTAGTTTTTTTAGAATGCTTAAAATTTAATAAGAGTTTTTTTATTGTATTCTGTGTGTTATCAATAATAATACTTCATGTTAATTACTCTCTCTCCCTCTCTATGTGCAATGCTTCAAAATGGTATTAGAGTCCAGTGGTATACAAAAACTCAAGAAAAAGCAGCACAAATTCAGGCAATAAAAAGAAAAATAAGACTTGAAGGAGAGCCCCAAACTTGAAGTATAAGCTTAGGCTAAAAGTGGTTAAAAATGTAAATCACATAGGCCAAAGCTAATTGGACTTGAGGGAGAGTGTTCGACAATAAAAGTCTCATATTGGTGGGTTAGTAACAAATTATACAATATATAATATAAGAGGGTTATGAGTCTAAATTATCTTAACCATATATATAATCTTATTGTAGAACTGACCTTGAAATTACAGATTCTCTTATGTGTTGTTATTATTATTGCTGAACTCACTGTAATTCCTTGGAGCCACAGTGAGTGCTTTGATCTTCCGAAGTGTGCACATTGGATTAATTTTGATGCACATTTTTTTTTGGGTATTCTTATTTGTGTGCCAAAGCCTTGAATTTTTTGCCCTGATTTTGGATCCAGGGTGCTTGTTAGAACAAAGATTTTGAAGGCTTTTTCTAGGTTTAACTTTATTTGGAAACAGCTTCTTTTGGCTTTTGTTTCTGTGTTGTTCCTTTATTAACCTCACTCTTTATTTTATTTTATCTAGCTGATCCTTTTCAGAATCTTATAAGTTGTTAGGTTGCTGTTGTTTTTTTTGTTCTTGAGGAACAATTTGTTGGCTTTTTTATGGCACAAAAAACAAATAAAGAAAGAAAAATGTGCAAAATTGTGAGGAGAATGAAATGCAAAAAACTCAACTTTATTGAATAGTAATAGTACATTTATAATAACTCAAAAAAATAGAAACTAATTATGTAACTGAAAGATTAATAATAAATTTGAATAAAAAAGCTAAATTATTCCTAAAATATAGAAACTATTGTTAACTATAATATTGATTTAATAAACTAAAACAACAAAAAATAACCAAAAGTAGTTTCAAAAGCACATTGTTAATACTCTTTCTTACTTTTTAAACTGCAAGTTATATTTTTCTGCAGTTTAAATTTGTTAGCAGAGAATAGATTTGTTGTTAACAAAATTCTCGTGTTCTCTTTTTATTTTAAATTAGAATCAAATAAAATATTCTTTTACCATAGGACATGATTCACATTAACTAGTTTCACACCATTAACCGAGTCACTTTGGTCATTGTTAGAGAAATCAGTCAATTTGAATTTTTCAATTTTCTTAAAGTTGATACCTGAGTTGCAAGTGCCTTTGAAATATTTAACCACTTTCTTTGCAGCCTTGAAATATCTTTCATTTATACTGTGTATGAAACTAGAAAACTTACTTTCACGATATTAGGGTGAAATGTTGTGATATTCTTTGAATGAGAAAGTTGTTTTCTCTTCCTCCAATAGATTTAAAGTATAATTTTTTCTTTTTATTTTTACTTTGAAAATATCTTGACCAATTTCATCTTTAATCAAACAATGTTTGTCTTAAAAAATAACTTTAAATCCTCTTTCAATTAGTTGACCAACACTTAAGAAATTTTGATCAATTTAAAGAACCAAAAGAACATCACTGATTAATTTTGTGCATGAATAGCTTGCAATTGGAATTGTCTCATTTCCCTTAATTGAGATTAAATCACCATTACCTATTTTTACTTTGGTGATGTTAGTTAACATCAAATCTTTAAAGAGTTTCTTGTTATTGGTCGTGTGGTTAGTATCACTAGAGAATTTATGTCAGCTAGCAACTACATAAGTTTAACTTAGTTGCAAACTAATTATAGTTTGATTAGTCAATTAGCATTTATTTAATTTGTTACTTATAAAAACTCCAATTCCTCTTGTATAAATACTAAGTTCTTGTTCATTGAATAATGAGAATCATTTTTCTATCATATTATGTTATGGTATCAATTGACTCTTCCGTGTGCGTTTGATTCTCTCTCTCGTTTTCAGTCCTCTTTCTTTGAGCTTCTTCCGTCATGGACACCTCTCTTTCCTCTGTTACACCGCCACCGCAGGCGCCCATTGCGCCACCCTTGGCGCCTGTTGCACCATCGCGTAGGGTGGAGAATGTTCAAGATTCGTCTAGAGCCTATTACCTGCATCCTAGTGAGGATCCGTCTCTCATTCTTGTTTCTACTCCTCTGAATGGTTTAAACTACCATAGTTGGGCTCGTGCTATGAAGATGAGCCTCGTGTCCAAAAACAAACTCAGGTTCTGGATTAAATGATTCTTGCACCTATTTCTACCAATCCTCTGTTTCTTTCTTGGGAGCGGTGTAACACCATGGTTCTCTCATGGCTTACATGTTCCTTGGAGCCTTCAATTGCTCAAAGCATCCTCTGGATAGACAAGGCTTATGAAGTTTGGGATGAACTCCATAAGCATTTCTCTGAAGGCGATTTTTTTCACATTGCAAATTTTCAAGACAAGATCTCGTTTCTTAAACAAGGTGATCTCAATGTGACAAAGTACTTCACTGAATTGAAGACTCTGTCGAATGAATTGGAGATCTTTCGTCCTCCACCTGTTTGTTGTTGTGTCTCTCCTTGTGATTGCGGCGCTATCAGTGATGTGGCGTCTCAACGCCATGCCAATCGAGTGATCAAGTTTCTTAAAGGCTTAAACGACCAATTTGTTGCTGTTTATTCTCAAATCATGTTGCTGGATCTACTTCCCCCTCTGAACAAGGTGTTTTCCCTTGTGATTTAACAAGAACGACAATTTCTTACCGATGATGGCTTGTAAATGCACTCTCTCGTCAATGTAGTTGAGAGCTCTTCTCAGCGTTCTGTTGGACCTGGACCTCCTCGTCCTTGATCTAGATCTGGATCCGGCAACAAGCGTCTTTGCTCTCATTGCAGTTGCATAGGCCATACTGTGGATACATGTTATAAGAAATACAGTTATCCTCCTGGATATAAACCAAGAAACTCTCAGAGGAGTGCTAATGTTGTGGTTACCGATTTTGGTAGTGTTCCTGCTGGTAATGATATTCAGAATTCAAGTTTTACTTTCACTAAAAAACAATATCGAAGCCTGCTTACTTTACTCCCTCAAACAACTTTCACCCCTGATCCCAACCGCATTCAAGCAAATCTTACCTTTGTCAACCACAACTTTGTTTCCAATCATCCTTCCGATGTCTCAGGTACTGATCGGTGGATCCTTGACACCAGTGCCATCGATCATATTTGTAATTCTTTGTCTTTCTTCATTGCTTATAAACACATTAGTCTTGTGTGTGTTAATTTACCTAATGGTCAGCATGTTCTTGCATTTTATTTTGGTACAGTTTACTTTTCACCAAATCTTTATTTGTACAATGTTTTATTTGTTCCTCAATTCTCTATCAATTTGATATCTATTGCTAAGCTAGCAAATACTCTTGAGTGCAAACTAATTTTTTCTTCTCGATTTTGTTATATCCAGGATCACCATGCTTCGATGACGATTGGACTTGCTGAGGTTGTTGATGGTTTGTATCAATTGAAGTCTTTTGCCTCCACTATATCTGCATCCTGTCACACCTT